TTTTTTTTTGGGGGGGGGGGGGGGGGCGGGGGGGTACTCATAGTCGTGCATGCCGTAGTCGTTAGACCATTGACCTCGCATCCCTACAAAGTCGGGACGGAGCACGCCGGGTTCTCACCGGACTAGGCTCTCACATCACCAAGCGCGAAGCGCCGTGAGGTATTCGGCGAGTCGCATGAATGGTGCGCTGCATCCTGCTAAGGGTGTTCGGCATCTTGTGTTTACTTCCTTGCGTACGGATGACAGCTGCATATGACTTAATTTATTTTTTGGGGGATTCACTTCCAGAGACAGTTGGAAGCACTGTGTGACTGCCTCGAGGATGTTGGGGGGGGGGGGGGTACTCTTGTGTTTTTTCATGCCTTAGCGGTTAGACCATTGACCACGCGTCCTCGAGAAGACGGAGCATTGTTCCCACAGGACCGATCACCGATGGTCAATCGTTCCTTCCTACTTTGCCAAAGGTGGCTCAAAAATGTCTTCCCTAGTCTGTCTATCCTAACGATATCCCTTCCCGCCTTTTCAAACCACTTCCTACTCCCCAGTACAGCTACCGTCCTCTCCTCTCTATTCCATGCCTCAAACATCTCCCTGTACGTCCCTTGTATTTTTCCCAGCTCAGTCATGTACACTTCCCTCTCCTCTTCGTACCGCGGACATTCCGCGACTACATGAACACGGTCTTCGCATTCGAAGCCGCAATCACATTTGAACTTGTCGTCTTCGTCGTCTGCCGTCCTATGTCTTCGTCGACGTTCTCGAAGGCCTATGTCCCCGTTCCTGAATTTGACCTTAAGCTTTGTCCCTGCATCCATTGGTCCATGCAGATAATCCTTGAACCCTATTCCTTCTTTCAACATTCCGTACACTTCTAGACCCTCCTTATCCTTGGTTTCTTTCCTTAGATCCTGTTCTTCTCTCTCGGCACAAGCAACAGATGTCTTCCCCTTGAACCCCTGTAGACCCTCCGTTTCCAGCGTTTCATCTTCGTCGATGTCTAACCCCTTCCATACGTCCTCTACAACCTTGACCCATTCCGTGGGTTGTCTACCCCTCTTTTTGTTTGCCCACTCCGCCTCCCGTACTATTCTCGGCAACCTCTCCTCTCCCATCCCGCACATGCGATACTGCCATGTCAGCTTCCTTGCGTCTCTTCCCGACCGTAGGGATTGGATCCCCAATTCTGCCCTGACGGCTGCATTACTTGTGCGCTTGGAGCATCCTAGGATGATTTTCACTGCTTTCATCTGCGCCGCCTCGAGTTCTTTCACTACCTTCTTATTTCCTTCCCATACTTCTCCGGCGTACTCTAACGGCGGTACGATTACGCTCTTCAAAACCGCCAATTTGATGCGTGTATCGAGGTGCCGGATTGCGAGTATTGGGTGCAGCTTCCCTGCTCGTGCTTTGCCCTTTTCCGCTACCTTGGAAATGTGTGCATTCCACAAGCAGTCGTTTGCGATCTCTACTCCGAGGTATGTGTACTGGTCCACTACTGCAATTTCCTCGATCCCCCACTTTCATCTATGTTCTACTGGTTCCTCCCTGTCCTCGTTGCATACCATGACGGCACTCTTCTTAACGTTGGCAGACAATCTCCATTTATCAGTAAAATTCTTCGCCGCGTCAATTTGTAGTTGCAGTCCCTCAGGGGTGTCCGACATACCAACAAAATCATCCGCAAACAGCATTCCTGACACCAAAGTTTCCGTGTCCTCTACTTTTACTCCCTTCCGGACTGCCTCTACGACTTCCAACAGATCGTTGATGAACACCTGGAACAATGTTGGGGACAGCGTGCAACCTTGTGGGACCCCCTGCTCAATGTCGAAGAACTTAGACAGTTCTCCGTCTAGCATGACCGCGCTTTTCGTACACTCTGTCATCTTCTTCAGCACTCTCCACATTTTCCCCTTGATCCCGTACTTGAACTTTCCCCTTGATGTTGGGGGGGGGGGGCTTTTGATTGGAGACCGTAGTTAAGCCGCAAATGAACGATTTTTTTGTGCGTTTCTTGGGAGGGTGGCCACACCCGTTTCTCCCGTACCCGAAAGCGCCGATTGAAGACTTATCTTCAACGATGGCAACAGAGTTTAGATATTTGGCGGTTTTGAGGTACTGTCGAAGGTGCAATCGACCCGGAGCCTTGTTGCATTTGAAACATTTTTTTGTTTTCGTTCACTCAACTGACCAAGGTAAGCGCAATCTCGTGTGACCTAGGTTGATCGATCCTCAACCTGCTGTTGTTGATGTGTTTGACGCCCGGTTCACCTTGTTCACCTTGTGCGGCGGAACACGGCCTTCTCTCATCGTATAGGCTGTTCTTGGCACGGCACCAGCTTAGAAGAAAAGCACCAAGACAAACGAGCTAACAAGAACGTACGGAGAGACGTTTGGCCACGCCCCTTCGTAGCATCGAATCGCTTGGCCTCTGTTACAATTCCGTTTTTTCTATGTTTTTTTTTTTTCCCGCAACAGCTCGAGTGCGGAGACCGGCATCTCGCCCAAGACCTCTTCTTGTCCTGGCCCAGGAGTGCGACCGGCTTCCCGGGGTCCGCCGCGCCATTCAGGAGGCGGGCGGATCACGTTTCCGCGACGACGGCTGCGCCGCCGCCGAACCTTACCGACGAGGCCGTCGACCTCAAAACGGGCGAGAAAGACGCCGTCGCCGACGATGCCGTAGAGCTATCGCGGGGTGGTGGTGGTGGTGGTGGTAATGGACCCGAAGCTTCTTGTTCTTCTTCTTGTTCTTGTTTTCGAAGGCTGTGCGGCGGCGGGATCGACGCTGCTGTTGCCGCCCCGACGCCGCCACAGCCGTCGCGGATGTTGCCACCCCGTCACACGTTTGTCTTCGCGCGGCCCGTTGCGATGGTCGAGGAAAGCGAGAGCAGCAGCAGCAGCAGCAGCAGCAGCAGCAGCGCCGACCGTACGGTAGTAGGAATAGCCGGAGCGAGGGACATCGTCGAAGACGAAACGAGGACAGCCCGCGGTTCGAGCCCTCCAGACAAGAAAACAGCAGGCGCGACGACAGGCGCTGGAGAACAGCAACGG